GGTATGCACAAGAAAAGGAAGCACAGGCACAGGTACAGACATCATCATGCACCAACACCTACATCGACTGACCTGAGCCCTCTAGCACCACCCGCAGTTCAAGATACCGAGGAAACAACACCAGCACCATCTCAACAGTCTCCAGCCCTCCACCTCACCTATCAAGAAAGACGGATCTGTGGTTTTAGGACGATTTGGGGATGTCACTTTGTAATCTATTGGTTTGGGGCTTTTGGGGTTTTGGGACGTATTATTTACGGTGATTAGAGGTTTTAATTTGGTTAAAGCGTATTAATCTAATTTATTTTATTTTTGAAGCAACTTGCCTAATTTTCCCATTTTTTATTAGGTCAATTAGGCCTCACGGCCTATGCTAAATTTTTATGGGGTACTTACAAAAATACCCTTAAAATTAGGAATATTTTGAAAAATCATATGAAAAGTTTTTAGGAAGGAAAAAATACCGTGTAAAATAAAAAAGTGACACAATGTCACTTTTTTTATAAAAAAAAATGACGTAAACTAAAAAAAAGTGACAAATACCAAAATAGCACCATCCACCTGTGCAGCACCAGTAATCATGTTCTTAAAATAATCACCACGTTCAGGCCAATCCACATGTTGACTATGTAAAAAAAAAGTGACAATTAAAAAGTGATCCACTGTCTTTTTTTAAAGTTAAGTGTCACTTTTTTTTATTAAAAAGAGACATAGAATATCACTTTTATTAAAAATTGATGTTTGTCATTAAAAAAAGTGATAGAAATAAAAAATGTGACTGAAAAAAGTGATAAACGCTAAAAATAAGCGAAAAAAATTCAAAAAAATGACAAATTTTAAAAAAGTAACGAATTCAAAAAAGTGGCACAAATTAAAAGAAGTTATACAATTAAAAAAGTGACAAACACTCAAAAAGTAGCATTATTGTTTCCTAGTATTAGTCCCCTACTCATAACACCGCCATGGTAGAACTATAAAAACCAGCACAGATATCAAACCATGATACATGATTTCCCAATTTGTTCTTGTGTAATTACCAACAATAAATGCAAGAAAGCCTTCAGCTGGCAGAATGTCAATGCCATCGGTAGCTTACACAGATTCAAAAATCAGACAACCCAAAGCGACAATTGGTACAAAAAAAAAAAAAGGTAAATACAAAACATAATTCTTCAAAAATGTTCCTTTTTAAAAGCAGTATACAAAAACCCATAATGCCGGCTCTCCATCTTTCAGACGAAAACTCAACCTTTTGAACAATTTATGGATACTCCCTTATAATTCCAAATCAAAAACTTTCCATTCATTTCAATTTCACATACTCTCAAACGAAAACGAAGTTCACGCTGTTCATTCCCATAACTTTTCTGTTACTCTTTTCCATTTCTTCAGCTTCTGCACATTTTTCCCCCAATATCACTTCAATCCCACCTTCGTTAATCCCGAATACAACAATATGGGAGGCTTTTAATAAGCTTATGGGCTGCCGTAATGGTCAAAAGAAAGTTGATGAGTTAACCAAATTCAAGAAATATTTACAGTACTTTGGTTATTTGATCTTCTTATTATAATTACTCGGATGATTTTGATGAATATCTTGAATCGGCCGTCAAAACTTACCAGGTGAATTTTAATCTGAATCCCACTGGTGAACTTGATGAACAAACGTTAAAGCACATGGTACGACCTCGATGCGGAAACGCCGATTTAATCAATGGGACTTCGACTATGAATTCCTGTAGCAACCTCGAACTTACAGTGCAAATTCTACCATTCATATAGTGGTGGAAGGCGGTGAGAAGTCAAGATATGAAAGACCTTTACCTTCTTCTTCTGCAAATGGACGACATCGAGGCGAGAGACTCTGAGACGAGTGAGATTGTTGAGATAATTCAAGTCCTGAGGGTAATTAATACGGTAATATAACTTTATTTTAGTTTGAAGAGTATTAATCAAAGATGATATTTTTTTAGGGTAGTTGGCCTAATTTTCCCAATTTTTTTTCTACTTATTATCGCGTGATCATATTTTCGTTGAAATAAGGAAAATATTTTTTTAGAGTGAGATGATTTTTTTTTTTAGGTAATTCACTCCCTCTTTCTCTCTTATCTATCCCTTATCTCTCATCTGCTCACCAATAAAAAAATATACAAGTATAATATTTTTTAAATTTAAAACTAAATCAATCAAATACATTTAATTAATAATTTTTATACAAATAAGTTGTAGAGAATAAATTGTCTAGATTTTATTTTCTTTCCATGCAAATTCCATGCTGGCAATCAAAAGTATCATAATTGAAAATGAAATTATCCCTAGTCTCCCCAGTTGGGATTAAAATTTTGATAAAAGTTGATAAAACATATGTCCTCGTATGAAAGAGATTTTTACAAGATTTTAAGTGATTTTTTGACGTTGACAACTCAAAAATGGATCCTATTGTAATCATTTTTTGACTTCTTTTTCAATAAATTATCACCTAACTAGTCATTTACAAATATGTCCTTTACAAATTGTCAAATATGAGTAAGAAAATGGATAATATAGATTTTTTGTGATAATTTAAACACGACAGCAGTAAATAAAAAAGGACAGCAATGGGGGCCTTGTGCATTGTCAACGATCATAAAGGAAAAATTCCCTATCTAAAAGATTAAGTATGACTCATTTTAAAATTAAAAAAACAAGGTTTAAAAACTCAAAACTCAAATATTAATTAAATTTTATTTATGAAATAATTAATTAAAATATATATTATTAATTAAATATATTAATGTTACAATTCTATACAATTTGAACACAAATTATTTTTCGATCAAAGACAAAAATTTTATAAGTCACAAATTATTTCTCAATCACAAATCAAAACTTTTATAGGTCACAATTTATTTATCGGTCACATAAAAATTTTTGTAAATCACAAATCACAAAGTTTATAGGTCACAACTTATTTAAGGATCATAAATTATCAAATTAATTGGTTACAAGTAATTTCTTGGTCACAACTTAATAAATTGTGAGTCTCAATCATATTTTTTAGGTTACAAGTAATTTCCCGGTGACAACTTTATAAATTGTGAGTCTCAATCATATTTTTTACGTCATATATTATTTATTGATCACAAATTAATCAACTTATTGGTTACAATTAATCAAATAATTGGTCACAAACACCCCTATCCTATCCCTACCTTACCTTACCACATTTCATCTCATCCCATCCCACGACCACACCCAAATAGTTGGTTACAAACAATTTCACCCGACCACCGACATTAATCCAACGTTGAGCCACCGCAACCACTTACACCTCCACATGTACTACCACCACTTATACAACACCAACAATAAACAATAAAATCACCTAAAAGCACTGGCTAAACAGCCAATCGGAGAAGAAGAAACAAACCCTAAACCATAGACAATCTGATTATCAAAACTATACCAACAAAGAACCATTTAATGCATCGCCAAATACCACACTAATAAAGACCCATTGAACACACACTAACACCACACTGTTGCTTCATGCATAATGGCGTCCCCATTCCCCACCGCAATTTGTGTGAAATGGGGAACAACACTATAGTTCTTGTGCAGGGACATCCCTCATCTTCGCTGCTTCATGCAAAATGGTGCCCATATGAGTACGAACTACAGCGACATTAGGGGCCGCCTTGCACTTGTCTCGGGGCGTAAGGGCACTGCTACTTGTCGTGTAGAGTCGTCGGAGAATGAGTGGTTGAAGATGAGGCAGGATATGAATTAGGTGAAGAGAGATTCGTGGAAATGAATTAAGGTTTTCGGGGTAGGTGGAGTGGATGTGGTAGATTTATTATTATTATTATTGTTATTATTATTATTATTATTGTTGTTGTTGTTGTTGTTGTTGTTGTTGTGTGAATTAATATTTGATTTTTGTATAAATAAACATTATTTTTTAAGTTGAATATCAAAAAATTCGGTTGGGTATAATTTCCACGATCATAAATTCACTTAAAATCTTGGCTTGAATCCCTCCTAGACAAAGGCATGATTGAGAAGTTGTAGGACTTAAAATTAATTGTTGACTTTAATTTAAATTAAAATCTAAATTTTGATTCCTACCAAATATGTCATATTAAAAAGTTGGAATTGAGGTTTCTATTTTTACATTTTAAACTTTAGACCAAATATTGTGATAGGATGAAAACATGGCCATTCGAAAAATTGAATTTGTAATCGAAGATGTTACGCCTCACCACCGAGGCTCCTATTGGAGACCACGTCATAGTCCCGTGGAGACACGAGTCAGATCTGACAAAGTCAACAAAGACCCAATTGGTTAAAATAAAGAAGTCAAAGAAGAAGTTGATACTATCTGTTCTGAAACT